ATCAAACCCAGGTCCTCTGCAAGAGCAGTCAGTGCTCTTAACTGCTGAGCCATCTCTCCAGCCCCAATAAGCATATTTTAGTTCAACTTGAAATACATAAAGACATACTTTTATTAGAAAATATTGGTTCATAAGCTATCTAGGATCCTTGAAAGGAACTTTTGAGTAGGCACATAGTCAAGCCAACCCAGACTGGTGATAAACTGTTATTCACATTTAGTGGATTGGAAAATAGACACTGGCTTAGTGAGTTGGGGTGAAAACCAAGGTAGCCTTGAACCATCCACAGTGAACTCTCAGGTAATTGAAAGCATGCTTGGAGTTTCAGTGCCCCTGGGGGCCACTGAGATACTGCAGGAGAGAGAAGTAGATATGTAGAAAAAGTTAGAAATACTCAAGGCAGGTGGAAAAGAAGTAGAGGGTGATCTGCAAGAGAATTCTCAGAAGGTGGGATAACTCTGACATGAAGCTCTGGTTTCTGGGATACTGATAATATGCCAGCAAGCCTTAAAAGTCTGCTGATATAGTCTGGAGGTAAATAACTGCCATTTAAGGATCAGCAGAAGGGAACAGAGCTAAAAGAAAAATGAGCCGTGAATAGAGAAAGCTGTTAAGCAGGATATGACTAGAGTATAGGCTCAGGTTGTCAGAATAAAGACAACCTGAGCCTATACGCTAAATATTTAAAGAGAACATGAGTTTTCCCTATTCAAAAAATGTTATTTTAAACATGGCACTTCTATCATGAAAGAGGTGACACATGGAAAACCCTACTCTTCTTTGCTAGCTGAGACCTTTGGTAAGGAATGTCATGAAGGCACTGGGTGGATGAGATGAGGGGTTAATGGACCTCCAGGGACACTGCCTTCTCATCCCCCAAGTCTCCGCATTTGCCAGATTGTCACCTTCTGGAGAATTACTAGATTCATGAAGTGTGCTGCTACTGTTCTAGGAAGGAAGCCACACTGAGAAGGTGGAGAGTGTGTTCTTGGTACAGAAAATATAATAAGGGTCATTTCTCACAAAGAACTAGATATAAATGGAGAATTTTGTTTGTACTGTGATATACACCTGTAATGTAATAGTTCTGTTTATTGCTCTGTGCTTTAATACCTGCTCGGATTGGCAATGTCAATCTCATTCTAAGGGAAAGTTTGTTGAAATACTTTGAACACTAATAACACATATCCTGTTGTCCATTTTCAGTCTTAATCTATGAACCAGAAAATCCTGTGGCCAAGGAGTTTTTCTCGCTTATTGAAGAAATATTGCTGAAGGGTAATTTTATTTTATTATTTTTTATTTTATGTGTATGAGTGTATTGCTTGCACGTATGTAAGTGTACCCATGTCATACAATGCCCGTGGAGGTCAGAAGAGGGCATCGGATCCCCTGGAACTGGTGTCATGGATGGTTGTTAGCCACCATGTGGGTGCTGGGACCCAAACACAGGTTCTCTGCAAGAGCAACCAGTGGTTTTGACTGCTGAGCCATCTCTCCAGCCCCTAACGGGCAATTTTATTTTATTTTATTATTTTTTTCACATTTTATTTATTTATTTTTAAATAATTCATTGAGAATTTCATACAGGCATATTAGCATATAAGGTGTTTTGATCAAATCCATGACCACTCCCTCCCCTCCAACTCCTCCCATATCTCCTCATCACTTTTTTTCTGATAACTTCATGTATTCTTTCTTCTTTTTGCTACTCTAACATTCCCCCCTCTGAAGACATAACCCTAAAGTCTTTTAAGGATTTGATAAGAGGTCCCAAATACTTTCGACATTTTTGGCCTTTGGAATGGGGTATGTTGCTAAGAGGCCCAAGGACGTTTTGACTTTTATCCAAGACACTGGCTACTTTTCTTTGGGGTCTTTTTACCCTAACTGCCTAGCCAATTCCTACCTCCTATTCTTATCACACCATCCTCTGAAGAGGTTATCCAACTTGCGGATAGGGAATCAGGATACAGACTGCTCTGGCTTCTTCCTTACTGAACAGGGATGCAGGGTAAGGCAATTGGGGTACCCCTTCAGTGGGTCTGTCTAAAGGACCCACAAATTGCATAACTGTTATCTGTAGAGGGGAAAGTAAGTCCTTGACTGGTGACTAGGAGATGTGAAGGAGAAGTAGAGTCAAGAGTAATTAGCATTACAAGTTCTAGACAGGGAACTGGAAAAAAGTCAGGGCAAATTTCAAATGTTCATATGAGAGTCCATTGGAATTTCTTGATGAGAGCTTCCAAAAGCATCCCTCTGTTGGGTTCCTTCTCATTTTTCTTTTGTCTGCCAAGGCTGGACTCGAGAGTGATGGATTCAGGATTTGCTTTCAGGTATTTTGATAGCTGTTGGGTGGTTAGAATCAGTGTCAGTTCCCTCTCAAAGGCTACATAGGGGGAGAAAACAAATTTGGCCATCATTTTAGAACAATAGTGGGTTGTCTCCCTTAGCTACAGGTGGGCATGACAGTACTGTAGACAAAGATTTGAAGTCTTACCTCTGAGCAGCACTTTCTGATTCAGAATAAAATCATCAATGAGAAATAATTGTTTAAGTAACTTTTTACATGGACTTAAGCCTAATGTCTGAGAAGTATAATCCCTTGAACTCTTAAATATACTGATGACTTTACTCTTTGGTTATACTTTCCTTTTGGGTATTTAAGACCATACAGTTGGCCCAAATAAATCAATTTATATTTACACTTAAGGTTGTTTGAGGATCTGTTCCTCAGGGGTCACATGGGCTTGGGAGGAGCCCCTGGCTCCTTTCTTTTACCAGTTCCATCTATGTAAAGATAAGTCAAAGGTCCTGCTCAACCATGGCTGGCTTCACTTGGAAACATGTAGGAAATATTTCCTCTGAGTTGACCCTCCTTTTTACAGACTGGACACTGGTTCAAGTTCATCTTGTGGGGTCTCTATGGCTTCCCTGAATAAGAGGACAGGTGGCTCACCACAGTTACAGGACATTTTGAAAGATGTTCCATAGTCCCCTGGAACTTAGTGGACCTTGGAGGGCAAGGGGCAAAAACTGTCCTTTAAGTCCCTCTGACTGGATTGGTGTAGGCCTCAAAGTATGGCTGTTAAACATCCAATAAGATTAATTCCACCAGTCTGGTACTTTTAATTACCATATCTAAAGGGTAATTTTAAAATTTGAAAATTCTTCCTCCTTATAAAACCATGAGCTATCTTTAAAAAAAATCATTATTCCTGGAGATTGTAAAAACATCTTCAGGAAGTTTTTCAGGAATGTCTAAATGGCTGTCTCAAATGGTGTAGTGAAACCAGATTATCCTTTGTGAATGTGAAAGATGACTGCCCCCTTCTTTCCATGGTGTGGAACTGCCCAAACAAAGCAGGCTCCCTTGAGCACTGAAAAACGGAACATGGAACCACACCTATCTGTTATATAGTTGTCTCACAATTTCCAGGAAAGCCTGTATTCTCTAAATTACCCTAAGTCAGTTTCCCTTATTCTATTTCAGATTTTCTTTTGTTTTACCATTTTGTCTGTTTTCAAGACAGGAGCTCAAGTATAGCCTTGAGCTTATGATCCTCTTGCCTCTTTCCTGAGTTCTAGGATTACAGATATGCACCATCATGGCTGCCTATTTAAATTTCATTGACAATAGTAAACGTTATTTTTACAGACCTTTGTTTTAAGTTAAATTTGAACCCACAAATATCTACATGCCAGTCAGCATTGACGTTCTTGTTCTATTTTGATCACACATATAGCTAGCTAAGTTTAGCTCAATTTTTGTTCCCCAAAATAAGTATTTCTTGGTAGAGGGAGAGTTGAGGAGACTTATAATTTTTTTGAAGCGTTAAGAAACATTGTTAGTATTACTGTCCTTTCTGTGGCAGAGAAAACTCAGACCCATCAGGAGGATGAAGAAGACAGCAAAGAGGACAGTAGTAGTGAAAGCGAAGGAGAAAACAGCAAGGACGCAAGTGACTACAGCTCAGACGAATGTGACGAGTCCTAAAGGCCACTGCTGTGCAGAATTATTTTCAAGAGTGTATCATGCAAATAGAAAGAAGAGAGCCACAGTTTCACATGATTGTGCTTTATTGGAAAAAGAGTTCAAGTTACCTGTATTCTTTCTTTGGGCTCCTTCGTCATGTTTAAAATTTTGGTGGGGGTGGGTTTGGAAAAATGGCTCAGCAGTTAAGAGCACTGTCAGCTCTTGCAGAGGATCCACATGGCTGCTAACAACTGCAATTCTAGTTCCAGGGGATCTGATGCCCTCTTCTGGCCTCCACAGGCATTGCATAATGGGTGTGCTTACATACACGCAGGCAAAACACTCATACACATAAAAATTCTTAGCTTTATTTTTATTTTATGTGTATGAGTGTTTTGCCTGTGTGTAAGTGCACCTATGCATACAATGCCTGTGGAGGCCAGAAGAAGGCATCTGATCTCCTCGAACTGGAGTTATAAACAGTTGTTAGCTACCGTATGTGTGGTAGGAGCTGAACCCAGGTTCTCTGCAAGAGCAGCCAATGCTCTTCATCACTGGGCCATCTCTCCAGTCCTTTTCCTCATGTTTACACAGTAGATCAAGGCAGGTTACTTAGAGGAAAGTAGGGAGTAAATAGAATGACCAGAACACATACCAACTGCTCTACACATGTTATTTAATCCCACAACCATAAGTAGTGACTACTGTTGAGATGAGAAAACTAAGTTACGAGGAGGGTAGTTTGTCCAACATCGATTACTTATTTAGAGTTTGGATTTGCCCATGTGACATGGCTCCAGAGCTGGGCTTTTAATCCTGTATCAATGACTACCACATCAAGCATGTTTTAATCATCAGTCACAAGTTGCATGTGCCAGGGTCTGGAATGCTTAACTACTTGTTGTTTTTATCTTCTCCCTACCTCCGTGCTCCATGTAAAAGAGACTTTTTGTTATTCATGACTATAGTAACTGGAAAGTACCTGACAAGTAATAGAATGAGTGTGTGTGTGTACACAAATAAAGTGAAAAAATGAAATGAAAGCTATGTATTTTTCATGTACCACTGGCAAAGTTTTACATTTTTTACATGTCAGTCTGCATTATTTTTCTGCCACTTTTAAATTGGGTTGTGAAATAACTAGTGTAAATTTTTTAAAAATTCCAAAATAGGAACTGAAGAGATGGCTCAGAGCACCTCTTGCAGAGGACTGGGGTTCAATTCCCAGCATCCACATGTCAGCTAACAGCCATCTGTAATTCCAGTTCCAGGGGAATTTGATGCTGTTTTCTGACCTCCACAGGCATTGAATGACATGGGTGCACTTACATACAGTCATATACATAAAAATAATAAATTCCAAAATAATTTCTTGTGAATATGCCAATCAGAATTGAGGGTAAGCATCTTGACTTTTTACTTTTCTGGTAACACAATGTCATGGCATATCCAAAATACTTACAACAGGTTCACAAAAAACTAATAAAACAGTTACTGCAGACTAAGATTGGTTTAAAAAAATTTTTTAAATCATTGTTTATTTTTTTTTAATTTTTAGTAAGTACATGATTAGAAGAAGCATTTCATTACAGCTTTAACATATTCAGTAACACACTCCAGAGCAAGAGTACATCTCTTTCACAA